ATAACTGATTTGAACAAATGAGTTGAGAATGAATGCTGCAAATGGGATAATTCCACACTAAAAGAAAAGAAATAGATGCTTCAGGACTTCTAAATCCAAACAATTATTTCAAGAGGGAAAATTCAACTAACATTTGGGAAGTGAAAACCCACACTTATGGTTGAATAACTGGCCTTAAATTCACCACGAAAAGATGGGCAGCAATGCATCCCTAGCTGTACTATTCCACTTTCCTTTCTTCACTGGCCAAGAGGGACTGGGAGAGAAGTGACTTAAGTGTGACCTTGAGGGTTTGTGTGGGATGCTGGGACATGCAATATAACAATATAACCCTGTGACCAGGGTTGGAGCAGAAAATCAAATTACTGGGCAAGACACGCTGGAAGTTAGTGGGCTTTTGGTCCTGAGGACATAATGTGAATCCCGCCCCCACAGGGACCTGGGTGAGCACCAATCCACATTAAAGGATCACTTGGTTAGAATTACTTCTGTCCTTAAAGTTAATCATTATTAACACTGAGTTACATATTGGGCAACCAACTAGAAAATAAGATAATGAGATCTCATTTTACCACTAACTAGTTTTACAACTTCCACAAAGTTCTCCAAACTCCAGAGCCTCAGTTTCTGTGCCTATCAAATGAGAAGGCTGCAATTCTGGCTTTAATGGTCTCTTATTCAGAGAGTTCGTACTGGAGTACAGTCAGATTATGTACAAGCTGTTCCATCGGCATCTTGAAAAAGAGGAGGAGGGAGTTAGTACTATTGTACGAATATTCATCATCTCTTGGGGTGTTAGTATGGAGGTAGTTACACATTTATTAGAAGATGGAAGATATAACCACAAAAGGAAGCCCACATATTATTTCAGTAAATGACATGAATCTAACTGGAGCCATCATTTAAGAACTCTCTTACCTTACATATATAAAAATTAAGGAGCTCTGGAAGACCTATTTAGGAAAAGGAGGTGATATTACAAAATGAAGAATGTATGTTACAATTTTCCTATTTTCCTCAATAAAAAGAAAATGGCTATTTAACAACTTTATTTTCAAATGCTTCTGTAATTTACAGATTTTCATTAAGGTAATAATCTGATGGTAAATAATCCAGTTATCAAATTACTTGCTAACTCAAGGGAATTATTTGCTATCCTCCTGACTTAACTCTCAGATGTCTAAAAAAAACAAAAACAAAAAAACTTGGGACAAAAATGGCTTCAGTCAGGCATTAATATTGTTAAAAGAAAAATCCTATGTGGAATCCATACTATGGCTGGTTATTCAGAAGGAAAAACAAAGCAAAAGAGAAAATGTGACTTCACCATCTCCTAAGAAAATTATCAGTTGAATTCAACCAATCAGCTTGCTATTGGCTAAGCCAATATATATCATTAAAAGAAAATTCCTACCCTACAGAAATCCTTATTTCTTAGGAGTCCAGCCCAGAATCTTGGAAAAAATTACATAGATAGATAGATAGATAGATAGGTAGATAGATACATACACACATACATATATCCATATGATGTATATATAAAAGTGTATTAAACATTAGTATATTAAGGTCACTAAACTTGGGGATGGTTAATATGCAGGAATAGATGATGGAAGACCAGCTAAAATTCAGCCTTTGTTTTGGCACTGCCTGTCCTATTCTCTAGTGTACCACTCTTTTCCTTCCCTAACATAAATGAGGGGTAAATCTTGATTAGTCATCAATTAGGATAATCTCACCTCCTTTTGTAGTGATAGCTCAGAGATAGTCAGTCATATGACCAAGTTCTGGCTGATTTGGGTTAGGAAAAGAAAGGTCTTCTAAGGGGTTTCTGGTGTATTTTCCCCATTCTTAAGAAATTTAAGGTAAGAAGAGCCCATCTTATTTTTTTTTTTTTTTTGCCTGAGCTTTGTTATGTCTTACAGCGAGCTTGAAAATATGACAGCCATTTCAGACCTCGAGGAGAACTATCTGAGGATAAAGTCAATAGGCTGAGGATGGCAGAGTGGAAAGATGAGAACTTGGGTCCTTGACAACATGAAATATTTTTAAGCCACTTAGCGTCTGCCATCTTGGTACTTCTTACATGAGATATTATTACATCTTGTTGGTGAAGTTAGTAGACACAGGTTTTCTATTATATAAAACAAGGTATAAGAAGCTTTATCACATCTAAGAGAATAGCTGATCCTCAAGTTGAATGTGAGGTTAAATAATTCTTCTGATCATATTTAACACCCAATTCACTGTTTGTATAAGAATAGTTCTCCAGTTGTTGAAAATATGCATTATTTTAGGAATGCAAGTATCAGTAAAGAACATTTGGCAAATATTGCTGAGAACAAAAACCAAATAACTCAATATTTACTGTCATTGTATATGAGGAACAGGAAGGCTTCTTGAAAGAGGAGGCATTTTATCTGGACCTGGGAGGACCTATGCTATTTGAACAGTTGGAGGTTGAGCTCAAGGGCATTTAAGAGAATATGGTACACACCACATCATCTGAAAAGTAGGTGATAGGAGGGAAAATACAACAAAATAATTTGGGGCAAATAAGGTGGCAAATAAAGCTGGTCTGGGTTAGGTGCAGACCAGGGAGGGTCTTGAAGGTCTTGGAGCTTCTTTTTCACAGTAGTAGCAAACAGGACTATTTGAGCCACTCACCATTTATTGACTTCAGATGACTGAATAAAACAAGTAATACTTATTTTGTATAGTTTTAAAATATTTTAATGAAAAAGTGCATGATTTTAGTTAAACAATAAAAATACATTTTGGTTTGGTTTTAGAGCAGTTGCCAAAAGAAACTAACACAAGACTGTTTAAATAGGTATTGTTTTCCAAAAGGTCAAAGAGATACAAGTTCCCGGAAAAGAGGACTTAAGGCCAGTATGCAGCCTTTCACAACAGTTAAGGTAAGATGACTGGGGGCATGGGGACAGGCTAGCTGGGGGCAGGGTCTGATGTTCTAGGGAGGAGAGATACCCAGTTGTGCAGCAAAGAGATGTCATGAGCAGAGAGGGGTAAATCTGCCAGAGCCTTGAACCCCATTGAGGCTGGAGGTGAGATCCAGGAGGGGAAGCTGGAGGTAAGGTGGGAGGTTCCCTGTCAGTGCTCACCAGCACAACCCCTTTGGTGAAGAGATGGAAACAGAGTAGGGTTATAACAGGACTGAATTTCTGGAATCTTGTTTACTTCTTTGTATCTTTTTTTTTGTTCCCCAAAGGAATTAACCTTAAATATATTTGTGAATTAACATGAAACAGTATGAAATCATTGCCCTCACCTGTGCCATCTCCACAAAGGGGAGCTTGGTTGCCTGGCTCTGTTACCAGGTGGGAGTCAGAAGGAAGAGAATTACTTCATGGTCTCTTGTTTAAAGACCAGAAGTCTTTCTTAGATTCCCTGGCAAACAGCCCGGGTCTCACATAGTCTTAGCCAGGACTGATCTCATTTTTTTTTTCCTTCAAGCCAAGGAGAAAGGGTTGATTGGAATAGATGTAGACACCTAGGATTTACCCCTGGCCATGGTGGGAGAGGGAGGAATGGCTAGGGGACAGGGGTGCAGAACCACAACATATTCTGAAAGAAGCGTCGGGAAAGAGGCACTGCAGAGTGGTGAAAAGCACAGACCCCTTCCTAGCTAGGTTATCCTGGATTCCTTGCAAGACTTAGCTGATCCTCCGTTTCCAGGACAGCAATAGAGTTATTGTGACAAAAGTAATGTAAAAGCAGTTAGCAGTGTCTTGCAATTAGTACAACTTCCAAAGGAGATTCTGATTATTGTCGTGCTGCTGCTATTAATAAAAAACGACCTAGCTCCTTCCCTCCAGGAGTTCGCAAGTTGAAGGCTACTTCCTGTCGGAGGAGCGCTCCGCTCTATCTCTGTGCCAAAGAAGAAAATCTCTTGAGACTGCGTGTCCATCTGCAGACCACTTACTTCGGTTTCCTTCGGAGGAACCCAGCCAGGCCTGGGATTGGAGAGACGGGCCCAACACCATGCCTAAGTACCCTCTTGGTGGCAGAAGGACACGGTGGCCTGGCGGACAGGGAACAAGCAGCATGTTCCCTTTCCCTGCTTGCTCACTGAAGGAAAATGGGGCGCTAGGGATGCTTACGACCATCCAAGTTGATCACCAAGTTGATCACTTGGGCAACCAACCGGGACCAGAGGGTATCACCTTTCCCATCAGGGTTGAAGGTTATACATGGCACCCATCGAACACTAGTAGTGTATTCTGGTCTTTCCAGCATTAATAGGATGGCAGAGTCAAGACCAAGGCACCAGGTCGCGCTGACAGCAAATCTTAGCTCGCTGCGGTCCGGGCCGCCCCTCGGTCCGCAGCGCGCGCCCCACCGCTCAGCGCGCATGCGCTCAGGCC